TCCCCGCTGCACTTCCTGGAGCGAAAATCGACGGCCACACAAGGGGTTCCGTTTTAGATTTTTTGGTAAATTTCTCTGCTTTTTCCGCCAATAGCGCACCATTGAGCACCCCCACATCGCTTCTATACACCTCAGAACCTATCGTAATCGCTACCTTTAAGCACACTTCATATCTTCTTGTTGCATCATAGACCTGATATTAGCGAGAGTGCCTGATGGGTTGTAGGACACCAAATGTGACTAAGCTGATCTGGCGGTCGGCACCAGGGTTGGATTGAATTTACTTTTCAGGCATTGTTATTCTTTTTTCCTTTGCTCTCGTCTGAATAGAGCTACCTCTTTGATGAGAGATCACTGTAGCGGATACTGTTGGACTAATTGGATTGAGTTGTCAAAATTTTATTTTTATATGCATGATACACATTACAACAGCTAGCAAAAAATGTTCCCATATCGTTTCGGTTTTGTAGCTGAGGGTTTTAACCCTGTCTGATGACCGTCGTTCTCACCACCGTTGGTTGAGGAGGAGCTGAAAGCGATTATTTCAACTGTATTACTGATACTTGTTTGGCTTCCAAAAGGCTGTGAATTGAAATAGGAGAGCCACATCCGCCTTTTTACATGATTTTTGTTCCCTCTACCCAAGTATGCTTTACAATGGGAACTTACCGAATGGGGCTCGATTGAATCCAGTTCCCCAGGCGTTACCGAAGCCGGTGTTGGTCCAGGGGCTTCTACCGAATGCGTTACCACCGTAGGGTGGTTGGAATGCGTTACCACCATATGGTGGTGGACGATTGAATCCTTGGTTGATCACAGTGCGTTGAATGACGGTTCGTTGTTGGCGTTTCTCGCGGATGATTCCACTGTAATAGTGAAACTCAGGAAATCCTTAATGCGCTAATTATAGGAGCAAATGAAAAAAAAGTTTATCGGTCGCTTCTGAATTTTTGAAAAGTTAAAAGTTACAAAATTTATGCTCCCATTTTTGCCACCTTCGTGAACAGCCTCTACTTGTGTAGTGTTATGAACTTGTAGAATGCCCCTTGCAAATGTTATGACTTTGGAGTATTCTAGGAGAAAATATTTCAGTACATGATAATGAATCGAGAACAGTTTCTAACACAACTTCGGTGCGAAGTTTCTTCCCATATCTTTCAGTATGGGTAACTATGGAAGCAGCTTACCATCGTAGCCTGGTCCTAAGCCCCCCCCCCTACTATCGCAGCTGGTGCTGAGCCTTTTTTTGAATTTATTACCAGTCACGCGCATCATATGAATTCGTATAACTTCGTAACCCCAATATTCCCCACTAAGTATATTATTTATTCCCCCTTTAGGCTTTTTTATTGTCTATTACGTTTTTGCTCAATTTTTATTATTATATAGGGATTCATGTGCCTTAATTGTCAACAATAGTTAAATAAATAAATAAACTTATTACTTGCTCCTTCCACTGTGAGAATAGGAATGCAAGATGGTAAATTTCCCCAAAGCGGCTTGGCTTGATGGGTTTAGATTGTACCGCAAGCATATAATGGGCAATGGCTACTTTTAGATCCTGCTTACTGATAGCTAAGTAGTAAAACTCAAGTCTAAGACTCCTAAGGAATACTCCTGTGCAAATTTGAACCTTAGTCAAACTTAAAGAAATTCGACACTTCTTATAGAGTGCATCTCAGCTGGGGTGGGATCGGCCAGTACTTCGAAAAAGTTTTATTATCCAAATTATCGAATGCCCCGGTTCCATTTATTTTTATTAAATCCTTATTATTTTCAAATGATTTATTTATAGTTTTAAGTTCTTTTACGATCAGAGACTTTTAATTTCGATATGTTGTAAACCTCAAAATTTTACCAGTTACTTACCATACGGCCACAACCGCAACGCAGAGAATCAGTAGAAGTGAAGAGGTGTTCATGGTGACTTGGCGTTTGGATTCTTCCTTGTTGTTTTATACCTTTGAGAAGACGACCTTCAAAAGACTACAATCACTCGTCGTCTAGTTAACCATATAAAATTTTTCCGTTCGTTCAACACAGTTCTCGTTGTAATCTCCGTTCCGAAAGTGATCTTAGGTTCGTACGATATTCGCACACAAGGAACTTATAACTTACGTAGAAAATGATGGAACGGTACCTGACATGTCTGGGTCACACTGATACAGGGTAGAGGTATAGTTTTTACCAAGTTGATTTTCCTGAAAAAAAAATAAAGACAGTGAATCAAAGCGACAACCCAGGTCAAATTGGTAGGGTAGTAGCTGTTAGTAATGAAATTTTGGATGCCGAGTTGACCGAAAACGAATAAAGTAAAGTAAACCGCCGCTGAAGCTCTTAATCTGGGACTCACTCTCATTCTCTTGAAATGAGGGAGGGGCGCGTCCGGACGAGTTGTCTGAACTTGATGGCCTAACCCGCGCGTATTTGAATTAGCCAGCGTGTCATTGTTGTCCAAGCTTGCGTGTCATGAGTGTACGCGAGGATTCTCGTCCATCAGCTCACATTAGCCGTCACAAGCTCACTTTTAAGGCCCTAGCGCCATTGTCGCGCGCTCACGAGCCGCGACAACGGCACATCTGTAATGTGTCTAGGCTACTCCATCCTACTCAGAAAGAAGATTGTTCACGACGACACGACCTCATGTGCGGACGTGCTTTGAGACTTTTTGTTGGCTCACGTGTACTTTCTCGAGACGCTCCACGCGTGCGGTTCTCATTCAAAATCATGGTAGCATTTGAATTCGTATTTGGCCCATACACTAGTTTGTGGGCGTCAAGCGATGTAGGTGCTAGTATTCTTGCGCTCCCAAGCGACCCAAAATTGAGCCTTGTAAATTTTTTGAACTACAAGCAAACCTTCATTTTAAATAGTATTTATATCAGCTTGTGGAATAAAAACTGTCTTATTCTCCTTCATAAATACTTCAGCCGATGCTTTATGCTGACGTCACAGCAGATCGCCGACATGTCCTTCAGGAAGTGTTAACCTTCACCCTTAACCTCCGCCATTGTCTCGTGGGAGTTGACGTTCTATCGCTCCTTTCTCGATCGTGATTTTCGGTACGACTGGCCGTAAACTCTTTCCACAACTAGCGAACGTTTGACATCCACACACGACCGTCCATACAGTCTGAACGTCTCTTGCCTTGAAAAACGAACACTTGCGCGAAGTTCATATTTTGCGGTTCTGTAATATGGGCTCTATTTTGAACGGCTGCCAAGCCCAGAATGAGCTTTGAAGTGAAGGGCTCGCATGTTTATCTGCGAGTGCCACATGGCAGCGAGCCACTATGACATGGGCATTTATTCATAACTGATGCTGTGTCTAAAAAATGAATCCACCGACCTGTGATTATGTGAAGATATTATAGAAAGGAAGTGTTGTTCGTACATTTAAAAATATGGTAGGTATTATTTCGGGATTGTCCTCACATGTTACAACTTTCGACCCAGTAGGGAATAGAAGATAGGTCGACTTAAAGGCAGAGTTTACGATGAAAAGTTAGCTCATTGGAAATAAGGGTAGAGGTGGTCAGTGGAGCAGGGATGAAGAAGAAACCATTTGAAACGGCCCAAACCCGAGAAATGGGACCCCTTCCTTGCCCGTTGATTTGCGCATTGATGCGACTCATCGCTGTGCCCTCTTCAACACTACGCTCTCTCTGCTATCTAATCACTCGCCACGTATAGACCTGCGGCGAGTGATTAGATAGTCGGTGGGCGTACCCCGCCAACCGCGCCAAGAGTGAGCCATGCTAGATCGCCGAGGTCAAATCTTTCGCTGCCAATTGCGCGTCGGTCAGCACCCTCAGGAGGTCCGCCTGTCCCCAATTTGCAATTTTCCCCTTCTTTGAGCAGACGTGAAACCTTTGGGAAAACCTCGGTCCACAAGCTTTCTACGAATCGCAGTCGCCGTTCGCGCTGCAGCGCAAGCCAGCCAACAAATATTGCGGGATACTGCTGCGGGACGAGTACCCGACGGGAGGCCCGTTACATGACAAGAAGGCAGAGACGCAGACGGGTGACGAGTCACAGCGCGTGTTATGTGACGTGGGACGTACTATAGTACATTCTATTCAATTTGACGCAAAGTCACAGTAGTACGCGCTGGGGCTCCTCCGCTAACCCGTCTGCGTCTCTGCCGTTTCACGTGCTAGTGGCCTTCGGTCGGGTAGGCGATCAGTGCGGAAAGTGGGTGTTAGCCAAAACAGTGCAGAACGCGGTGAACCAAGAGATCGATGCAATCCTGTCGGCGAAGTCTACTCACCCTTCTAGTGTCCTATTCTTTTTTTACCCGTTGGGCCACTTTATGTTGTTTTTTTTTACCTTCCTAATTTATTGAGAGCTTTTTTCAGGGTCTTAAGCGTGGCAGCGAACCTGAAGTGGGCGAATGGCGAGGACAAGCGTCGACAATTGCCAACAGTCACACATACGATGTTCCTAATGCGGAGGTTCGTTTACTTGCGTGTTTACTGTACCATGACATGACCACAAAACTTTTTAATTACTTTTCTATGCGCACAGTTGGCGCGCTCAAGGGGTGATGTAACTTAGAATTTAAACGGAATATTATTAGCGGCCAGATAGCACTCAGCGAGTTCACTCATTCATAAGAAAGTCAGAAGGAGTAAAGTATCAAATAAAGTACTAGAGATTGTGAATTGTTTGGTTCCTCAAAGTGTGGTTGGATCCACGGTAGCAGTACTATTCTGGTAACTACAACGCCATCGATTGTGCTTATGCGAGTGCCAGCTTTATCGTCAGGAAATCGCGCGATTCATCAGTGATTCTGCGGGTATCGAGCGATGCGCCTGCGATTCCAGAGATGTGCCGGCGATTCCGGCGATGCGCCAAAGCTAGTGATCGCAGATTCCTGCTTTCGCTGGTGTCATTCGAACTTTTACAAATGTTATTTCATCAACACTCGCACATAGACACCCTTATATGTAATCAGTTTACGAATTTCTTTCGGCACCATTCGTCCATGGTTGCTTACACTGCTTGTAGCGCCGGCGCTGAGCGCCATCAAGGAGAACACGTAAAATGTGTTCATTCAAGGGCTAATATTAAAGACGAATTCACGATGAAAAAGCAACCCATTTCAAATTAACCTAGGGATGGTGAGTGGTACACGAAAGAAGGAAGAACCATGAGAAACGGCCCAGAACCCGAGAAATGGTACCCCTTCCTTGCCCGTTGATTCGAGCATTGATGCGACTCTCATCGCTGTGCCCTCTCCCCCCCCCCCCCCCCCCCCCCCCCCCCCCCCCCCCCCCCCCCCCCCCCCCCCCCCCCCCCCCCCCCCCCCCCCCCCCCCCCCCCCCCCAGCTATCTAATCACTCGCCACGTATTGAACTACGGCGAGTGATCAGATGATCGGTGGGCGGAGATCGCCGGACCCGCCAGCTTTGAGGCATGATAGGTCGCCGAGGTCAAATTTTTCCATGCGAATTGCGCGTCAGTTCGCACCCTCAGGAGGTCCGTGGGTCCCTCAACTAGGTCAGTTTCCCTTTCTTCGACCTTCATTCTAATCGTGAATTCCTCCTTCAAATCGAAATATTTACCTATCTATATTGAGATATATGGCAGCCACCCATTCAATGCCTCAGTTAAGCCTAATTATGGAATGGAATTGCCTTTTTAAAGTATCTGTGAAGAGAGTCGGGTTTTTCTAGTTGGTGGCAGCTTTCAAATTGATATGGCCTTATTAAATACAAACGCTTGCCGATGTCCAGGGCAGCCGTATTTACTTACAGCATCTTGTGTGTCCATATGTGTAGAACTGAATGCGTGTTTTCGAAAACGCATATTGGTCTGCCATATACTTTATGCGTAATTCTCTAAAGCCAGCTTTTGAAATGAAAATGGTGGCTAAGACGTTAATTGATGAAGCTAGGAGGTGCGAGTGGTCGGAAAAGAAGAGAAAACAAGGGAGCCCGTGTTACGTCCGAATAGAGTGCCGGCGCACATTTTAGACGCATCCATTTTGGAATACAGAAGAGCGGTGTCGGACGGCGTATCCACGAACCCACAGCAGTTGCTCCAGTGGTTATGGCGTTGAACGCCGCTGCCGCCAAGCGCGCCAGCGCTTTTCAAATCAGCGTGTGGCAACAGACACGAAAGGAGGGCTGCGTCGAAAGGAGTGGGTTTTCGATGAGTGAAGCTTTTCCCGGCAAAAGCTTATAGATAAGCCTTGTCGGCGCTATATTCAAACCGCAAAGGGACACGACCTCAACGCTTGCGGCCCGCTAACCTAACTACGTCTCGTGATCACAGGCAGAGCCGTGCCTACAGAGCGCGCCTTCATTGTCGCATGTAAACGAGCCATGAAGCTGACAACTGCGGTGGAATTGTCGTAGATGAAAGCTATATGCACTATTTTTGAGCAATTGCGAAACATAATATGCATATGTACGCACTTTATACGCCGACGGCGGTGGTGGTGTAATGAAAAGTGGTACTCCACCATGCGCACTGCCGAGGGATGAAAATCGCGGACTAATTCATAAAGCAAAGGCCGCTGCGATTCGGAATTTATGAGGTTACCTGGCACATTCTGCAATGGCTTCGTTACAGAAACGATTTCTTAGGATGGTTTCCTAGCTTCCACCGTAAGCGCGTTCGCGGTGGGCCCGCACTGCCACATGTTATCGATTTGTTTTCGTCGTTTTCTCTGCGCCCTCCACGACGAGAGCCACGACGAGAATGTGGTCGTCAACCGCACGGAGCGCCATCGCTGTAGAAAGCGGAGTAGGGCAAGGCATCGGTTCTGCCGCAGAGAAGTGCGGCAATGTGGCTCGGGGGGGGGCAGTCGCCGCGCGCGGCTCAGCGATGTAGTGTAACTCGAACATTCCAGCTTCTCACGGAACATTCCAGCTTCTCACGCATGCTAAGTGACTGCCCTCACCCCCACCCCCCCT